CACTGCTTAAGTATCTATAGATACTTAAGTATCTATAAAAACAACTTAAGTCATACAAACCAACAGGACTAGTCGTACAGGACATTATTGTCTCCTTCTGTTTTGTTGGAATTGCTTTATTGGAAGAGCTTAGACCTCTTAAATAACTACATATCTATTCTTGTCCCTAATACAGGTTTCATACCATGTCTTTTAAAGGTAGAGTTCTGTTTAAATGCAGCTTTTCAATTCCTTTAATTACTTTCATTTTTCTTTAATACAGGATAATTCCTCAATGAGTCATTCCAGCGTATTTTTAAACTACTTTATGTGACACAACTTTCTATTTTCCATTAGTACTACCAAGAAATCCTCTTATGCAAAACCCAATTGAACTCATTCACTGCTGTCCTCAAGTGCAAAAGAAACAGTAGCATTCCTTTGTCAATCCAATTAGCATGCACAAATTAAAAGTATTATTTAGGTCAGTCTAATTTGTCATTGAAGAATGCATTACCTATAGAACTATTCCTGAATGTACTTCTGGATCACTGAAATGACAAAACTAAAAAAGTACAGTCTTGAGGCTTTTTTTCTGGTGGAAGCACACTTGGTTATTATTCTAACAAAATTATAAACACTACCTAGTTCCTGACATGAAGGTTTCACCGTGTTTCACGCTGTACAAAGAGAACAAAAAGGCTCCAGGATGTGCTTTAAGTGAACATACATTGGGAGGGTTCAGAAAGGAGAAGGGAGCAGTACACTGAGCAGTGCTGAAGCTGAGGGGTCTGGAAGCACATCTGCCTCCTGCAGAGAAGCTTCGCTCCTGCCCTTCTTATTCAACTATGCTTGGGGACCTTCTCCAGACAAGGAAAATAACAAGATGGTGAAATCAAATTGCTGAGAGCAGATAAAAAAACAGGAAAGCAGAAGGAAAAGACAGACATGGCAGTGTAGGAAGAGATGAGAGACAGAACATAAACATGGCAAGACAGAGGAAGCAAGAGGAAGCAAGAAACATCAGGAGTGTCCATGTATGGATATTCCAAGTAGCTTTTTACTGCTCCTGTTTCTCACTTTGTCACATTCTTTGAACAACCTGGTCTAGTGGAAGGTGTCCCTGCCCATGGCACCCCCTGCCACTGGAACTGGATGATCTTTGAGGTTCCTTCTAACCCGACCCAGTCAGTGGTTCTGTGATTCAGCTGAGTGGCACAAGTACTGTAAGTACAGGAATGCAGCATCATCACTGGATGCTTTTACACCAGCCCCTCACTTTTCTGCACCCAGACCAGAGGCAACAAATGTAAGCAGCTGGAACTGCATCCCAGGGGAATGGCTTAGTGATGGATGCAGTGGTACTTGATTACTGTTTGGACTCCCCGATTTTAGAAGCCTTTTCCAACCTAAGTGATTCTGTGATTCTATATAATAACCACTGCCACACTAGTAACACATCATTTAAAATAGCAATAGCACTGTATTTAAAATTATCATAATTCACAGTGGGCACTAGGAAACAATGTTAGTGCCATGAGAGAAGGATGGCCTTGTTTCCAAGACACCTGCCTTCAACAACACATCATTTTTTTATCAATGATTTTCATTCATTTCAGTGGTATGCTTGTTCTAGAAGTTGAGAGTAATCGTAAGAGGGAGGAAAATGGAGACCATTTCAAACACTACCCTTTTTTATTTTTCTTCAAAACGAAGTGAAATAGTATTACAGTGCCCTCAGGTGGTGTAAATTCAATTCGGTCCTATTGTCTTCTCTAGAAAGACAATAAACAACTGTAAATAATACTAACTTCAGCAGACTGGCTGAACATGGAAGAGAGTTACACAGGAAGGCAAATCACAGCATAAGCAGTTTTGTTTCCAAGGAAGGTTCTTTTCTTGAGTGTTTTGACAACTGATTTTTAAAAAGCATTCTTTGTTAATTTTTAAATATCTGTGGAATAAATATAACATATCTCCAAAAGAAAACCTAAATAACATCATCACTGATTATGGAAACAAAGAAAGATAGAAGGAAAGAGATCTAGAAAAGTAGATAAAACCCAAAGGGAGAAGAGGTAATGAATTTTGTAAGAGCTTTTCAGAACAAAACGTAAGGTAAGTGTTTAAACAAAACAAAAGAAAGAAAATCCAAAACACAGTCAATCAACCAACCAACCAAAACACTCTACAGATAGCATATAATTTCTTAAATATATTCACATTTAATATGTCTTAATGGTGAGGAAAAACACATAACCAAAACACATAAAGAAAGCAGCATGTGATAAATTTGTCATATAACCTGAAACTTTCTGAATTCATACTGTTGTTTTAGTCTGAAGAAATCAGTTTCCTGAAGATGTAGGATATCTTTAATGTACAACAGTCCAATAAAACTTTTTTTTTACTAAGAATAACAACATAAAATGAATGTTATTTATCTGATCTACTTATGGACATTCAAGGTAATTCCAGAATTGTGTCTAATAGAACTAAATGATTGATGTATGCCCATCATTTATCAGTGTTTTGTGTCTTCTTCAAATAACAGTGAGGAAGACCAGCAGATCACCAGGAGAATCTTCCAATCAACCACAATTAAAAGGTTTGCCAAAAATTAAGTGAGATTATAATCCATTATTCTGTTGAGACACTTAAAGAAATGGCCTGTCAGTTTACAAATATCGATTCCATCATGGAATCTATGCACTGTAGATGATGGGAATTGTACCACTGACCATGGTTTCACAGAGAACACCACAGCAGCTTTGTCCTGCTGTCCATCCAGTTCTGTCCTGTTGTCTTTCTAGGAAGACAGCTCTGTAAATAACACTGATCTTCAGCGAGCTGGATGAATATGGAAGAAACATATATGGCAGTGCAAGTCCCATGGTTACAGCGGCCATGGACCTGAATAGTTTGCTGTTCTTCCAGCTCCCAGTGGAAGGACTCTGCTGTCCTTCAGAACCACACCTGTACTCTTCCTACCTGCTCCCGAATTGGCTCCTAATGTCTGTCCATCAGCATATGTTAAAACATTCCTCAAACAGTTCAGAAAAGCAATTTCCAGACTGTTGCAAAACACAGACAACATGAAAGGAATTTGAATCCCACCAATATTCCATTTCCTATGCAAATAATACTTTCATTTCCTATCATGATGATTTGGGAAACTCTCCTACCACTCTGTAGTTATACATCACATGAAAGAAACACTGTGCTGACCCTTCAATTTTCTAAGGATTGCCTCCAGGATTTCTGAGGGTGTCTGGAAGAACTACTGTCACATTTTTAGCAGCTGTCTTTACAAACTGTACCCTTCAAAGAAAATGATGTAAGCTTCTCACCCCACATCATCCCCCATTCCCCTCACCTTCCTTTCAGTAATCCCTAATTACTTTTTTTTTTTTAACCTCACTTGCACATTCAGGAAGAGTTTTACTAACAAAACATTTCTCTGTGGCTGAGAGAGAATCAATAGTGCTTACAAGTACACTCTTTATTTATTGGCAATTTACTCCTGAATTCCCCCATCCAGGCTATCAATAGGAAGCAATCTCTTTATAGCACTAATGACTTGCGGTAAAGTATATACATCTGTTTAATACAAATAAGGGCAAACGATTTCCCAGACTTGGGGAGACAAAATAGAGCTCACAAGGACTTATCTCACTTAGAAAGAATAACTTGTAGCCTTCTCTCATTAAAAGGATAAACTATTAGAGTGGAGACAAGTAGGAAAAGAGCAACCTTGGAGAAGGGAGAGAGGGTTGGTGGGTGGCTTGGTCTGAGGTGACTTAAGAAGTCAATTCTCTTAATACAAACAACAATCTAAGCCATTGGCAGAAGAAAAGCAACACGTAAATCAGGGTTTCCAGACAGGGAAAAAAAAATATCAAAGTCCCAGGAATTTCAGCAACACCAGCGATCTGGTGGAAACTGTACCAGCAATTCCATCCACCACCGACTGGCCCCTAGATCCACTGGGTAGAAAAAGCTCTTCATTTTGAAAAGGACATTAAACAAAAAAAAATAACCCCTGCCTACCACGTCCTTCTTAAGAGTGCCTGCCATGATACACAACAGAGAGAACAAAGCTAATGCTGACAACTGTTTATCTTTAATCTCTCAGAAGTATCACCTGCAAAAATACTGCCTAATTTCTGGTCCTAAAAATATATATAAAATTATGTCCATGCTATTTTCCTTCAATGACCATATTTACAGTAATGAGTGGTAATTTTGACATGACAAAAACTTTCCTTAAACAGAATTCATGTTTTCCAGAGGTTCAAAAACTTGTGGCTTAAAATCCAAAGCAGACCAATCCACACAGAGGTGTTGAAAACTTCCTCATGTTACCTTCAAAATCACACCCAATCTTCAGCAGGAATAAGTTATTTTGTTAGGATTTTTACATATAGCTCTCCCTCAACCCCAATAATGAGATTAAAGCCTTAAAAAGGCACAAGGTTGTAATACATACTAAACCTTCTGCTTTTGTTCTTTCTAAAAAGCACTAAAAGGCAGTCTCATCTATGTGCTTGGTAGATGAAGTCAACTTCCCAAGAAGGGTACAGGTTAGAAAAAGAAAAAGTAGATCCAACTTTTACATAAAAATGTGCCAAGAGGAGCTTGGGAAAAAAAAAATCTGTTTTGGCAGCTTTATGTTGAGCTCTTTTGTTAAGCCATGAAAACTTAGAAAATCAAACTACTCCTTTATACAGCCACAAGTGTTCATTTGCAACAGGCAAACCATAAAAAGCCTGCAAAACTCGTCAGCAAAAAGGAAGCCATATGACAAGAAACCATTGCTTGTGATTTCAGGAATTAATTTGTCATAAAGAAGGGATAGAAAAGTGGTTGTTCTCCATGGTATCATCTTCCCTCCCAGCTTTTGGGCACAGACAACCCCCAGCATATCATCATCCTGAATTCTGCTTCGTACCAACAACCAATCCATCATCTTTCACAGGCAGTCCTGAGAGAAACCTGTGATTTCTGACGGAGACAATTGGATGAATGAGTTGACTGTGCTGAAGTCACAGCAGCGCCAGAGTAACGTGGCTCAGTTTACTGTGCTCAGGGGACAGCCCAGAGAAAACAGCACAGCATTTAGTCCAGCCTGGATTGCTGCATCCCTCAGGTGAGGCTCATCCTGTCCCTGCCCTGCCCTCTGTGGTGCAGTGGCGGGGCTCCTGCCAGCCCCACTGACCTCTGCCTCTGCTTCCACTGCAGCAAACACACACCTTTCAGGAAGGGGATAACAATTCAGGAAGACAGACCATATGTGCATTCCTTGGCTTTCTGAAAGTGTCATAAAACTCAGGTGGCTTGGTGGCAAACTAATGAACTGAACTAACTAAACTGAACTAACTATGCTGCCTACAGCAAACGTGCTGCAGGCAGATCAGCCCACGGGAAAGCCTTTTATCCTCTTACAGGTTGATTTTATGGAAGATATCACTTTGCCCTCAGCCACAGCATCCTCTGCTGGGAGCTCAACAAACCTTGAAACCAAAGACCTGCTCCATCTGCAGACAGGAACGACCCACTCCAGCAGGAACCTGCCTGGCACCTTGGGCCTTTGCTGCCTCTGCCTGGCAGACTAACAAGGGGAAACAGAAAACGGGATTTTGAGAGAGAAAGGATTTTGCAGATTGTTAAACCTGACCCCTTGGTACCTAACTGTTTTTCTTCATCCGTCTTGAACTTCACCCTAGTCTGCCACTTCAAGCAGACCCAGGACAAGCACATAAATAGTCAGCCCTGCCAAGATGGCTGGGCATGCTCCGGCACAGAATTTCTGTTCTCTGCAATTTCAAGCCCATGGGGAAGAAAAAAATCCACAAATCTCTCTCCTAAAAGTGAGACTCTGAACTCTACCACAGCCGTATGAAATGTTGTTTTGCATTTTGTCCTAAGTACAATAATATAATTATACTGCATCCTGAGGCAATAACTTCATTTCTGCATTTTTAAATTTCTTCACATTTCTGTTACACTGTTCTCAAGGTCACCCGGTTTCTCTTGTATGCTACACCAGACTGATGAGGACTCTCAGCTCTGCACCATTAGCATATTCCTACTTTTTGTGCCAAGGATAATAATGAAAAATATTAAATATGGCCTTTCCCAGAACATACATCATCCTGTGAGGATGTTTCAACAAAGATCATCTAGTCTAAAATGACTTTGTTTTCTAGTGACTGCATTATTAGATCAAAATACCCCTCATTTTTAAACACAAGGATCTCCTTTAGGTGTGCTGTGAAGAAGCAGCATCCATGCTGTCAGGAACACAGGCAGATAGCATCATCACAGGGCCAGGACATGGATTTTACTGCTCTCTTGTCACTAACACTCTAATTCCATGCAACAATACAATTTCCCTCCCTCCTCCACTCCTACCTCCACCAGCAGCAGAATAACTCGGGAAAGGAAGTCCATGTGGAGAGCTGCTCTGAGCTCCCACTCCCCCAGTCACTCTGGTTTTACATGGGCTTCACAGCTGCACTTTGCAATAAAGTACAATACACTGGGGAATGCTTTCGTGTACTGTGCATCTGACTTCCCTGTAGTCATAAAATGAGACAGAAAGCACATGCCTTTACACCCAATAAAACTAAACCAAAAAGTATTCTTACTCGTGGTTTATTTTCGTTTAGTCCACAGCCTCTCAGACATTTTCAGCTGCACAGAAGCTCCATGGCTGTATGCATGACAAAAACAAGTACCGAAGGTTAAACAGAACTTGCCTGAGGTTATTTGTACTGTAGCATTTCATACTGGTCTACATCCTGCAAATACTCCTTTCTGAGGATGCTGGAATGCCTCAGTCCCAGCCGAATTTGGTGTTAGTAATTTCAGTTTTGTTTCTATGTCATTTGTAGGAAATGTTACTCATGTCACGAGCAAACCAAAACGCTCATTAACTTTAAACGGTGGAAACTCGTCCCCTGCCCCCGCCTGGAACCTCGCCCGGCACGTCCGTCAGTGCCGCGGGTCTCCCCCGCCCCGGCCCGACTCTGGCACCATGCAGGGGCAGCGCTGCGGCCCCTCCGCCCCGTCTCACCGCTGCCACGGCACACCCGGGACGGGGAACAGCGGCGGGACCAGGCACGGCCGGCGAGCGAGATGGAACCGGGCAGTTCGGGGGCAGCGAGATGGAGCCGGGCAGTTCGGGGGCAGCGAGATGGAGCCGGGCAGTTCGGGGGCAGCGCACCGCGGACGAACCGCGCTGCGCACCGGGCCCCGCCAGGGGGCGCCGCCGGGGAGCGGCGGCGGGCGAGGCCGGGCCGGGCCGGGCCGGAGGGCGCGGGGGGCGGCGGGGCCCGGCCCGTGGCCGGCGCTGCCCGCGGCTCGGCCCTGTTCTGCTCCGCCGAAATGAGCCTCCCGAAAGCAGCGACCCGAACTGCCCCGGCGGGGTTGCAGCGCTGCCGCACTGAGCCGGGAGAGCGCCCGCACCGGCCCTCGCAAGCGCCTCGGGCTGGTTTATGTCCGCTCGAGAAACTCCTCTGCCAAGGCGGGCTCGGCAGCACCGGGGACAGCGAGCGCTCCGGCACCCGCTGAGCCGCTGCCTCCTGGGGACGGGAGCCCCGGCTTATTTTACCGAGGGCACCTCTCCGCTGGGAGAGCAGCGCCAGCCCGGCGCGGCTCCGGCGGCGCCAGGGCTCGCGTAGCGGACGGTGCCGTGGCCCCGGAGGCTGCCCGGCCGCTGCGACGTCCCCGAGGGTCACGGGCTCTGCTGCCAGAACGGGGATTGCTTAAGGGTTAGGGAGTGCTTGGAACCGGAGCAGCCTGGCAGCGCCTGGGACCCGGCGGCATCGGGGAGAGGGAGCAGCGGGGCGGGAGGTGACTGCCGGGGGCGCGGAGCCGGAGATACCGGGCGATGCCTGCCCGCGGCTTCCTCCTTCGGTGCCACACCGCATGGGAAGACCAGATACAAAAGCAGATTTATCACGCTGGGAGGTCTGCAGAGATAAACCCCACATATTTCCACTTGGAAAAAAGTGGTATGAAATTTCAGGAAAGTCAATGAACAGGACGAACGCAAGAAGCGTCACTGGTGACAGATACAAATTGCCAGCTGACCTCCGAGCGCGCCTTTAGACGGGGCGGGAGGCTTTGGCTCTGCCCCCGGGACCAGCACGCGGAGCGGACCGGGGTCCCGGGGCTGCGGCCCCCGCAGGGCCACCGGCCGCCGAGGTCCAGAGGCCGCCGGGGTTGACGCGCGTCGGGTGTCTGCGCGCTCCCGGCTGCGGCCAAAGCTGAGAAACCTCCTGCGGGAGCGGGGCGGCGGCGACACGCAGACACAGGCACTTTCGGGTGTCCCAGGGGAGCAGGAGGCAGGCGGGCACTGCGCTCCGCCACCTCCCTCCGCTACCGGCGGCGAGCAAGCCCGTCGGGGCGGCCGGGGTCGATGTCGCCCGGCCGCAGCACGGACGGCGGAGGCCGCGCTCTTACCTCGTTCCATCGGTCCCGCCAAGGCAGCAACGTCCCTACTTGGCCCCTCCTCGGTGAGCGGCTGCCGGCTGTCTGGATCAGCGCCCGGCCCTCGCCCGGGCGGAGGTGGAGGCGTCCCTCCCGTGAGCCGAGCCGAGCCGGTCAGCGCTGCGGGGCCCCCATTCAAGGCGCAACACCTGCGGGCTCGGCGGGCGGAGGCGCCGCTGGCCCGAAGCACCGCACGGGTGCCGGCAGGGCGGCTGGACGCGGGCGAACCCGGCGGTCTGTGCGGGCAGGCGGAGACCGAGCCGAGCCGCGGGCTGGCGGCGCGCCGGCCCCTGCCCGCTCTGGAGGGGCTGTCACCAGTCTCCGGGAGGGCCCGCGGCCCTCCAGGAGGGCCAGTCAGCCCCGCCGGGGCCGCCTCCAGCAGCTTCCAACGGCGCCGTGAGCCAGAGCCGCGCCGGGGGCGGAGGGAGCAGGTGGCATCGCCACCCCCTTCCCAACGCACGCAGGCGGCGCGGAAACGAGCCTGGACACAGCTAATGGGGCTCTACCGGGAACCCGATACACTGTGACTGCTCCCTGCGCTGCTGCTGTTTGCAACAGACGGAGGGAAAAACAATGAAGTCGTTTATCAAACCTTCTTTAGCGCAGCGTCGTTTTTAATCTCACGTTTGTACGCCAAGTTATTTACAGAGATGCGCAAAGCAAGACGCACGGACTGTTACATCCCGTAATTCCAGCGGCTGAAAACAAAGACCATTGACTGAGCCCGAATAATTACTTCCCAAACTTACACTAACATTATGGTTACAGGTTAAACGAAACCCTGTTCACCTGTAAACGATTCTGATGACAGACATAACCACATCCAAAGGACCACGCGTTTGAATAATTGTTCTGATATGATCAAGTCCAGTCTTGTTTACTTTGTGAACATTTGGAAAAGTTTTAACTCCCCGCTTGTTGGTGTTTTCCTTGGTTAACAACGCATCAGACTTGTAGGAGAAAGCAGTTTTAAGGCGGAGAACGTGCTATAAGCCCCGTTTCCAGAATTATTTTCTATAAAACTCTCAAATCCGAATTCTTCTTTTCTTGACAATTAATCATGCTTTCGATTACGAATATCTGTGGTCATTTTATTCGCGCGAACGAGCTTCGTTCCGCTATGATGTAACAGCAGTTTTTCTTCCTTTAAAAACCTTCGTCGCGTCTCGGAGTGAGGGAGGGAAGCCCTCTCCGAGGCCAGTGGGTTTCAGAACAGGCAACAAAGTTGAACAAACCAATTATTCCCAGGGCATAAGACCATTTCTTAGAACCGCTTTAAACGTGGACTCTTATGCGAGGGAACGGCCGCCCCGCAGCTGAAGACGGAGCCGATTACGCGACAGAGCAGCGATCGAGCCGGGCATTCCCGCGCAGCGCCTCCCGCCCAGTGCCGCGGGGCAGCGCAGCCGCCGGACCCCGCCTCGAGCGGCGCTCGGCTGGCCCCGCGGCCGCTGCCCGGAGCCGCTCCGTGCTCAGAGCCGGGTGCCGCCGCCCGGTGCTGCGGGGCCGGGGGTCTCCCCGGGGTCCCCTCGGGGGTCCCGTCGGGCGCGGCCCCGCCACGTGCGGCCCCGCGCGCTCGCCCGGCCCGGCCGTGACGTGTCTGGGTGGGGGCGCGCGCCGCCCTCCGATTGGGCGGTGGCGGCGGCGCGGGGCGGCGGCCGCCCAATGGGCGCGGGGCGCGCAGGTGCCCGCGCGGTTATCTGCGCGCGGGGAGGGCGCGGAGCGTGCCCGCCGCCGCCGGACACGCGGCCGGGGCCACGCGCGGAGCCGCCGGTCCCGCACCCCCTCCCGCCGGATCGCGCGCGGAGCGCAGGGCCCGCAGCCCGCCGGGACGCGCCGCCGCGGGGGCTCTTCCTCCCGGGACTCCCGCGGTGCCCCTACTCGGCTTTCGCCGCTTTCCAGCCTGGACGTTGGCGGCGCGCGCCGCCGAGCCGCGGCCGGGGAAGCGCCGGAGTTTTCCTGCTCCCAGCAAACTTCGGTACTTGCTGAGATCCTGCGAGCGGCGAGGAGCCCGTCCCGCCCGCGGCCACGCTCCCGCGGCGCGGGGCTCCAGCGGAGCGGCCGCGGCGCGGTTGGGAGGGAGCCGCGCTCGCTGATGCCCGCAGATGTTAGCGGTGGGGCAGATGGATGCTAATCGCCAGAGTGCGTTCGTCCTCAGCAGTGCGCCGCTGGCCGCGCTGCACAACATGGCCGAGATGAAGACCTCCCTCTTCCCCTACGCCCTGCAGAACCCCTCCGGCTTCAAGGCGCCGGCCCTGGGCGGACTCAACACGCAGCTCCCCTTGGGGACACCGCACGGAATAAGCGACATCCTGGGGCGGCCCGTGGGCAGCGCCAGCAACCTGCTGGGTGGGCTGCCCCGCATCAACGGGCTGGCGGCCTCGGCCGGGATGTACTTCAGCCCCGCCGCCGTCTCCCGCTACCCGAAACCCCTGGCGGAGCTGCCGGGGCGGCCGCCCATTTTCTGGCCGGGAGTGGTGCAAGGCTCTCCCTGGAGAGACCCCCGGCTCGCCTGTCCCGGTAAGTGCAGCCGGTTCTGTCGGGGTGCGGGGAGCAGGTGGCCTGGGGTGCGGAGCCGGGGCGGCCCCAAGCCGCGGGCGGGCGGGCGCGGTGGACGGGGCGGGCGGCCCAGCGAGGCAGCGGGCGCGGCGCTCGGCAGGAAGGCCCGGTGCCGGTCGCTCGGCCCCCGCGGCCCCCGGGGTGTCTCGCACCGAGCCCCGCTCTAGGGCCGGCGGGCACCCGAAGCGGCTGCTCCCCTGCAGCGCCAGGCGGGGCCCGGTTCTGGGCCGGGAGCGGTGCAGAGCCCGTCCCTGACGCAGCTCTTTCTCCTTCGGTTTTAGCTCAGACAGGGATGGTTTTGGACAAGGACGGCAAGAAGAAACACTCTCGACCGACTTTCTCTGGGCAGCAGATATTTGCATTAGAGAAAACCTTCGAACAGACGAAATACTTGGCAGGACCGGAGCGCGCTCGGCTCGCCTACTCCCTGGGGATGACCGAGAGCCAGGTGAAGGTAGGTCCGTCCCGCGGACTCCCCCCTCTCCCGCTCCCTGCCGCGGCCGCTTTCTGCTGTCTCGGTAATTGCCAGTGACCACGAATACTACGCAACAGTACAGGGATTTTTTTAAAGTCCTTTAGAATTTAAATTATATTTCGGTAGCGGATAGATTTTAGGCCAATTTTTAGAGCTCTCTTTGCTGCAAACGATTTAATGTAGACAGACATATTTTAAAAAGCTCACCCCAACAACAACCAAAAAAAAAAGCTCCTCGCAGGTAATTGCTTTCGACAGGTCACTTTTCCACGAGGATCGTGTCCGCTGGCACAACTTTACCTTATGTAACCCCGCAAATTTTTTAGCAAAGCCTGCATGCACATCTGAGCGTTGGGGTGCATCGGGAGCCAAAAATAGTTATTTTTCTGCCCATCGTATCCTGTTTCCAAATTAAAAACTGCTCTGCAAAGCTGCTGCTTTTACCGCCGCACAGTTCCGTCTGGGGACGGCCCCGCAGAGCTGGGCAGGTGTCCCCAGCGGGGCGTCCCCTCCCCGGAGCTGCTCGGGGCCCCGCCACCCCCTGCCCAGGGCGGGCCCGCGCTGCGGGACGGGACGGGACGGGACCGAACGGGACGGCCGCGGGCGGGGGCGGGCGCGGCGGCGGGGCCGAGGCCGTTCCTAAGCCGTGCCCGCTGCCGGTGCCCAGGTGTGGTTCCAGAACAGACGAACCAAGTGGCGGAAGAGACACGCGGCGGAGATGGCCTCGGCGAAGAAGAAGCACGACTCGGAGACGGAGAAGCTGAAGGAGAGCTCGGACAATGAGGACGATGACGAATACAACAAGCCCCTGGACCCCAACTCAGATGACGAAAAAATCACAAGGCTATTGAAAAAGCACAAATCCACGAACCTGTCCCTTGTCAGCCCCTGCAGCACCAGCTCGGACACCTTGTGAGGGCAGGAGGCCGATGGCCGCGATGGGGCGAGTGTAGCTGGGTGTTTGAAGTGGTGTGTTGTACAGCCTGAGATGTATGTGAAATGTATATATATTTTTTACAGAATAAGTTATGAAATTATTTTCTTTCTCATCGATGTAAATTTCAGAGAAATTTTTCCGACTTTTTGGGTTTTATTTGTGTCCCTTTAAGATTCCTGCTCTTTCCTTTAGCCTTCCTGCTGGTCTCCTGCACCTAACAATCAGGTTTTGTTACGTTTTCTATGGGTCTCCAAATCCAAGCTCAGCCACGTTGTATATAGTAAATTTCAGATTTCGTGATGTATATTTCTAGTGTAAAAACGGCAGTTTTCTTTCACTCCTTGTCCCTCAGTGTTTTGGCGGTTTCATTTCTCCTGCCTCCGGATTTTATGCTTAATAATACCAAAAACCAAAACAACGCCCAAAAAAAAAGCACGAGAGAAAAATGGACACTTGATTTTACATTGGGATCAAATAATGTCTCCACACGTGTTGGAAAGACTTTGTATAAATCAATAAATTATTTAACAAGCTTCTTTTTTAGCGACTTTCTTCCCGCATTTCTCGTTCTCAGTCCTGGCCCTGCTGCATTTGGGGGCCTGGGGACCGCGACGCTTCTGTAGGGTGCCCATAGCCCCCGGGCCGGGTGCTGCTCCGCGGGGGAAAAGGAGCTGCTGCGGTCGGGCTGGTGGGCTGAGCCGGGAGTGCCCCGGGCCCGCTGGCCACTGCCGGGGGCCGCGGGCGCTGCCACACGGGAACCCGCCCCGGAGAGGAGAGACCCGCGGCTGAAAGCGCAGCCCGAACCTGCCGGGAGCGCCGGTCCCTGGGTCCCAGAGCGGCGGGCGGGGGATGGGGTCTGCTCCGGGGAGGAGAGGTAGAGGCCGGGACAGGTCCCTCGGTGCTGCCCGGGTACCGGCCGCTGCAAAGACCCGAACTCGTTGAGATCCGCGGCGGAGGCCTGTGAGCTCTCCGCTTCCCGCCGGGATCCCGGGACGTGCCTGTGGGCCCCGGTCCAGCACCTGCGGGTGCGCCCGTGCCCGAACCGGCCGCCGAGGCTCCGCGTTTGTCCCCTCTGCACACGCGAGGCCCGGTGGGCCTGAGCCGCCCGCGCCGTCAAGGTGCTTTTTTTTTTTTGTCTTTGAACGAGACGTTCTTTTCTTCCCGTGTCTCAGCTACGGCTTTGCAGTCCGAGCAAAGGCAGCGGCCGCACCGCGGGCGACCCCGCTGCCCCTGCCCGGCAACCAGCGCAGGGACACGGACCCCGGCGCGGCGGGAGGGGGCCGTGACGGCTCCCCGGGCAGTTACGGGGCCCGGTCCCGCATCCGCCTTACGCACAGCGGAGGGACGCGGCTCGGCCGCCCCTGTCCGCGCTCCCGAGGATGTGCCTCACCCCCCGCGCAGATGCCGCGCACGTCGAGGCACGACACGGGCCCGCGTCGGTGGGAAGGGGCTCGGAGCGGCGGGGCCTGGCCCGGTCCCCGCTCGGCGCTGTTCGGGCGCCGCCGCTGGCGCTCCGCGCCCCTCCGGGCGGGCGTCGGGGCCTCCCCCGCGGAGCA